AACAATCCGCCCGCCTAGGCCTCCCAGAGTGCTAGGATTACAGGCGTGAGCCACCGCGCCCAGCCTCCAATGTTCTTATTACTGAAATCCTACACCTTAAAAGCTGCGTCAGAACAAATTAAAAAGCCAAACAACAAAAGGCTCTAACCGGCCAGATTTCCAGCCTCTTTCTTCAGTCAAGGGAAAAAGGCAGCTTCTAGAAAACAGATCTATACCTTTTGACTTACATGAAAGATAATGGGGGCAGGGAGGAATGAAGGAGGAGTGCCTGGGTCTTTATCTTCCATTGGACCAAGGCCCCAGAATGCTCAGATATAAAAGAAAAGAGATGCTCAGTGGACTTAAATTGAATTACTAGACAATTCAATAGGTGTGAGAGCAATGACTGAGGTCTGAAAGTTCCTTTACATTACAGATTTCCTCAAAATATCCATTACCCTGTGAATATCAAGCACACTGTAACTTCTACCCCTTCCATTCTACAGCAAGAAAGACCTGCAGCAGGTTACTCTTATGTCCTAGGGCGATTACAGGTTAAAAGTTAGAGTTTGGAACAAAGCCAAGCTTCAGTCACAGTAAATGACAAGAAACTATAACTATCCATATTGCCCTTTTCTAGGGGTTGCAAGTCTCACATGAAGGAACATTACATCATACCCAGTGAAGAATCCATTAAGGTATGAGAATGCATCGTTAGGTCTCAGAAAAACATAGCTGCTATCTGTCTGGGCACTGCTGAAGCACCCCAGAGAGGGGAATGCTTTACTCTTCTACTTCCCTTGCCTTAGGATCTAAGGCTCAATAATCAGTTTGCTTCAAACGGTAAAGGGAGCGACCATCCAGATGATTAAAACTTCCAATATCTCACTCTCATTCACTTTATAGTCAGAGTACCTGATGCTTCTCTTGCTTCAGCAAAGTCCTGAATATACTCAAAAGGTCCCCCCAGGTTCTGATCTTTCAGCCAGTACACCTGGAATGTACAACTCCAAGGGAGAATATGAAGCTAAGGTTTGCTAGCTACAGGCTCTTTCAGCTTAGTGAAAAAGAAGAAAAATTAGTCATATTTTACAAATTCTGTGGGAGAAAGTAGAGAAGCTGATCCCTGCCTCAGACCACCTGATGAACAGGCAGATGGTTCTGTATCACTATGATGCACACTGACATAAAAGTGCAAAGTTACCCTCTGAGAGACACCATCAGGGCAGCCTCAATATTTTGTGCAGGTCCCTCTCCATGGGTAAACTATAAGACCCCACAAAAGACCCTAGCAGTAGGTACACACCTGTGGTGATCAGCACCTTCACCAGCCACCTGTGGAAGAGAAAAAAAGGCTTGGTATTGGTAGTATGCATCACCAAGTACCAGCCAAGGTTAGTATTTGCCTGGAAGACTGCACCATGTGTGGACAGAAGGAATGTTCACTTAAAAGTAACTTGGGGTATCTGACAAGAGTATGAACAGAGAGAACCTGACCTATTTTTGTGGGTGACTGCCCAAAGTATAGTATCTAAAGAGTAAAATCTACCAGGATGCAGTCCTTTCCTAGATTTTGACATTTAGTAATGGAGAAAAATTGTCAGCTGCAAGTTCCATCATGTGACATACTGCCTATCACTAATTTAGCAAATGCTTCTCTCCCAAGAGCCTTCCCTGATGCTCAAACACATGCCCACTCCCTCTCCTTTAACCCCTCCTGGCAACATGCTTGTGCTGTTCGCCACATCAGAAAACACAAGTTTTGTGTACTTGTCTTCTTTTTTAGATGGCATGTGCTCTGAGACAGGGATTCTATGTTAATTCCTCTGAGTACATGGTGGGCCTTCAAAATGACTGCACAATGAAAGCACAGAACTTATCCTGAAAGAAACCAGCAAGACCCACAGACTTTGACTGCAGTGTTGGTCCAAATGGGCACTGGATCGGGATTCAGGAGACAGGGAAACTGTCCCTATTACCTAGATGGGCTATCTTGAAAGTTAACCCCTGTAACTTTCTGCCTCCTTTATAAAAGTGATGGGTGACTTTTCTGTAAACCTAAATCTGTATCAAAATGAAAAGTTTGTTTTAAAAAGTTAAAAGAAAAAAAGAGGGAGCATACTAGTTTATCTCAAAGCACCTTTCTAATTCAAACAGTCTAGGCAATGTTTTCAGGAGCCATAGTATCAATAAGCCACCAAGTCAAACGTCAACCGAGTCATAACACTGACCAGCTTCTTTATATAGATTATTACATACAAACCTGATTATCTAGTAATTATCTTTTCGGCTCAAATAAGCCTACCAATTTCCTACTCATTTTTTCCCTTCTACTTAATTCAGATTTAACTCCAATGCCTACAATGAAAATCCACAAAAATGCACATTCTACTAACAGAGGTTTTACAATATAGCAAAGGTTTTCCTCCTACACATTTCCCAGCTCCCTTAAACTTGTTCCATACAACCAGAACGTCTAAATATCGGGAAAAATTACAGCTGTTTTCTTTAAAAAAAAAAAAAAAAAAAAGCCTTGTCTGCCAATCAGGATGATCTTACTCACCAGTCCCACATTCCCAAGGGAACAAGAGGAAAAGGAGGTCTAGGAACAGAAATGACCTACAACCCCAAAATGATCGAAGGGAAAAAAATACTGCATTTATTTTATGGGATCACAATTTAATTGTCACTGGACTTCCCTGCTACCGCATTACTCTAAATTCTCACGTCACTTTCAAAGTTTTACAATGACGTGACCATTTTTATCCAGGAACTCAGACTCCCTCCTCTTCCTTCTCTATCCCTTCTTGTCCACTCACTCTAAAATTCTGATTCCACTCAATCAATCTCTGCTTTTGTTAAGCACAAGTAGGACTGACTAATTAACAAGCTTTACCAAATCTCTGAATTCCTAGAACACCATCTTGAACTTCATCATGGTTTGGGCACACAGCTGAAGAAAAATGAAAAAGCAACAATATTCCCTCACACCATACCTCTCATACAGACAGAACCAGTTTATAAATATAAGGTCAAAGAACATTACACTTGACAGCGCTAGGATACTGAAATGTTTCTTTACATACTGAAATAAGAACAGCCACCCTATGTCCCCTTACCCACTTGCACAAAAAGTAGTAGTAGGTGAAGGCATCCTAATTGGAAGAGCCTCAAAAACATGGTGCTGGGCCAGAAATGTTTCTGGTGTACGGTGCTAGATGAAGTGAAGAAGAAGTATTAGGAATGCAGCCTCTTAAGCCTTCTTATGGCAATGGTACCCAGACCCTCATTTGACTAGTGGGAAAGGGCTGCTTACCTTCAATGTGTCGACGCACTGTCCAGACGGCATTGGGGTTACCGGGTAGCTCAGAAACAGCCATTTCCGACACCTGACAGGACAGGAGGATCCAGTGAGTGTGCAACTCAGCTACCTGCTTACAGCTACACTAGACAGTAAGGTCTCAAAGGCAGTGTTCATACTATATGCTGGATTTAAAAGATGAAACCATCTAGTGAAGAACCTAAGAGCCAAAACAGAGGTACTGGCTGTCCCCATGTCAAACTTTAGCAAAAGTCATGGAATGTCCATGGGAGGGTACAGGTGTTACAGACAAAACCACACCCTTCATTTGGGTACATCAAGCCTGCATCCTCCTCAGAAACAGCAGTAACCCCGGGGAATGTAATAAGCCATCCAAATTAGGGTCCCATAAAGCCAAATCCCATCTGGACCAATTCGAATGCTGTTATACATCCTTTAAGAAAAACATTCCCTTGGCTGGCAGTCATTTCTGCCTCCTATAAGCAATCACAAAAGTTAATTGCCACCTCGCACGGAAATAATTATTTTGTCTTTTTACTATTAGATTTTTAGGTTCCTTATGGTCAGAGTCAATAATCCTCTAAATGATCTATAGGTTTTCAAACCTGAGAGCAAATAAAGTATCTTAAGATGAATACAAAATGATCTAGAAGGAGAAACTACATGTGGGTTATATGTGAACTCTCTGAATTGAATTCTTGCAATTTTTTGGTAAATATTGAACCAATCTAAAATAAAGATTATTAATGTACTTACATTATTTAGAGACAATAAATTAAACCACTTACTATATCATAGCATGTAACCACATTTTATAGAAAGAACTCAAGTTTATTCAAGGAAGACATTACCCTTTTCTTAGTTTATGGACGTAACAATAACAGGAAGACCTAAGAACATTAGCATTAATAAAGTATGTCAAGTATGCTACACTCTACACCAAATATAAAACTGACAGTCACCCTGCTCAGCCGAGACCATAATCTGGCCAGAGAATAAGGTCCAACAGACTTATAGGAACAACGCAATGTTCAATAATTTAAAAATATTTTTATAAACAACAAAGATTTGTTTACAGATTTGAAGGGGTGAGGTGGCAGGAAACTAAAAAATGATGACTCTTAATGATGATTCTTAATCTCTTACACTATACACAAATTTTATTAATGCAT